GGGATTGAGAAATTTTACAACGGGTACCTTACCACACACTTCGCAAATATAGTAATGACTCGGGTGTCGGAGGTGAAGTCGTTGTCTGAAATGATGAGGATGATGTTGCTTTCCAGGAGCGCATTTGTGCCGGCGTTATTGGAGAGGGTTGGTAAACTGGCATTTACTTTTGAGAGCTTTCTGGAGGCGGTAAAAGACAAGTACGTGGAACTGGCTCAAGAAGGACGCGAACAACGGCCCTGCGTGCTGAAAGGAAACATTGTACTGCGCCCCACCAGCGTTGCTGAGTTGAATAGGAACCACGATAATGAGAGGCCTGCAGTAGCGGACGCGGTGATGTACTTGCCGTGTGTGTCAAACTTTCCGCTGCTGGACGCTCTTTTTTTCCTGAACACAAGCCCGAGAAGGACGATGGTTGGGCTGCAGTTTACTACTGCGGCTGCGCATGACACAACGGAAAGTAAATTGAAGGATTTTAACGATGATATGGCGAAGTGCTTTAACAATTGGGACACCGTTTCCCGGGACTTGTCGTGGGAGATTATTTACGTGCAACATGTTGACAGTACACCAATGCGTCGGTGGCAGAAGTGCACCGGCATCGAACGCTTGACGAGCGAAAATGATCAGAGAACTGCGAAGTTGTGGACAGACGCACATCAGTATCAGCTGACGTTACTATACGAAGACGTCCCAAATTTCCGACTTCTTCAATAGCCGTAGGAACAGAGGAGGCGATTAGGAAATGGGCGCAGCAGTAAGCGCTTTCAGCGAAGGGTTTGATCGAATATTTTTGAGGGCTTGCGTCAGAAATGATTGTGGCTTTGTGGGTGTGTGCCAACAATATTTCATAAATAATATCCTCTTTGCTTCTTAGTTTACTGCTGTGTGTAGGGAGGGAGAGTTTGGGCAAAAAGGGGTGTGCTTTGGAAGGCTGAGTGGGTTTAACAGCAATGAAAAAGAAAGCAAGCATGTTCTCCGCCACGCAGCCATCATGTGTGTTCGGATGCGGAGTGGATGGCCGGCATCAGGGCAGCGGCGTCTCGGGTGCGGCGTAACGGCCCAGCGGCGGCGTTTGTTTTTTTTGTTTGATTTTCCTTCCGGCACCGCTGCCGCCGTTTGAGTAGTTGCGGTGTGGGTGGCATCCTCGCCCTGGACGAGAGGGGAGCAAACAGTTGTTGTCGTGCATTTTCATCCGGGTCACACGGCGGCGTTGGCCACGTTGCGGGATTGCGTGGTATATGTCTTTTTTCACGGTGCCGCGGAACCCCAAAGTTCCTCCGGGGCCATTTTGCGGGGGGTCGGGTCGGCCCCTGCGTGTGCCGCGTGGGGGCGTCCATTGGGGCAGCGTGCGTCGGCGCTACTCTGCGCGTGTGCGAATGCGCCGGGGCCCTCCGTCGCGGGACGCTCGTTTTCTCCGGGTGCGTTGCGGCGCCAGCGCGTGCGGCTGCAGAGGCTC